GACAACGAAGGGGAAGAACATCTCTCCGCGTTGTTGTCCGATAGAAACACCGGTGCTCGGCCGTGTTTGCTTTGCCGGCTCGTTAAACGAAGAACGAGGGAGTACTCGTCTTCGTTTTATCGAATTTCTTCCGTGCCAGCGCCAGTGACGCGAGATTTAGAGCTTTACAATGTGTAATTGCAATAAAAACACTTTCCATTCCATTATCGAAAGATAAGCATTTTTAAATTTTTTTTTAATACTAGAATAATCATGAAAAATGATCAAAATTATCATAACGTATAAAGCATGATAAAGGAACGGATAACGAACGCGAGATAACGTGAATCATTTAATGAGTTATAAAACATGAACAACGCGATATCGATCGCTCCGTGCCACGAGGGAACGTTACGAAGCCAATATCGTGCCGCGCGTATCATTTAATAGAAAAAAAATGCTATAAACCGCATAATAGCATTATTATTATCGCGTCCATCATCGAGGGCGGCATTATTATCGTCCACGATGGAATATTGCTTATTGCCTGTGAATCTTATGAGAGCGACTCTCTTGATTCTCAGGAAATAATAATGCGCGTCTGAAGTAATACAAGATCTTCTGAAATTTTTTATTTACCGAACAAATGCACTTAATGAAGTCTTGACACGAAGCACTGAAATTGATCCGGATCGGACGTTCTCAATCTGCATTCGAGACGTTAAACGGCGCGCGGAAGGAAAATTATTTTGGCACGGTGCCGCCGCCTGCCAATTTGGCCGCATGGCGGCTTATGAAATATGGTAATGGTAGCGAAATAAAGTCAATTCGCGCGTAAAACTTTGTGAACGGCGTATTTATTACATGGTTGGACGAATAAACACACATCTCACCAGTTGCGTTATTTTGTATTTTGGTCCAAGAATTCAAACGTGCAATTTCGACGAGTCCCATTTGCAAATGCATTTTATTTCGATCGTCACGTACTCGTGAAGTTTGTGTATTTTCTCGAAACAGAGGCAAAATTACAGTTATTTCCATCAGTCATCATGCAAACGTAAGCAGAATATTGTTTCTTAATCGCTGCGATTTCTTTTTTTCTTTCCTTTTCTCTCTCTTTTTACGAATGACGTATCACGCATCTCCCATCGAGACGTTACATTCGCGTCGCGTTAAGAAATAATTTCAATGCGATTCCGATTAATCGCAGCCGCGATTGCCGTCGTTCAATTAACATCCGTCGGCGATGAATCGTTCTCGCGATTTCGTCACGAAGGATGTGTCCGCGGAGAATTCCTGTTGTTGCGTATGCCGGTCCAAAGCCGAGAATCATTCGCGCCAGGTGATGACGTCGGGGAATATGACAGGTGTGTCGTAGAAAATGTCGCAATGGCCGGCCGTTCTTTCGCTCGCTCGCGCGCGCGCGTGCGCTCGCTCGTGTCATCTTTCTCTCTTTCGATGGGAGTCGACGCACGATTCTAATTCCCTCGCGTATAAGAAGCGCCTCTCGTTTACCAGACGACGCGCGTGATCTCGGTCACGCAGCGCGCGACGCGACCGATAGCCGGGGAAATTGTGCGCCGGAGCACGTTCGTCTGTTACCACTGCGCCCAGTAGTGACGAATTACCGCACGAACACGTAACTCGCGCAGAAGCCGTAATCATCGGATTGAACCGAGTATAAGCATGAAAAATTACCTCAAACTAATAATTATTAACTGTTGGCTATCAATTGCTCGAACCAATTATTTATCGAGCACTGTTGTTATCAAGGAGATACGGAAGTTCTTGAGATTTTACGATAAACTTTATTAGACAGACGATATTGCAGACAGTATTGATAATGAAATACGTTAGCAGACTATTCTTATTCTTCTTCTTCTCCAGCTTTTTGACGACGTAACTGCAATTAGCTTCCAATGCAATTATTTTGCTGCAATTTACTATCAATGTATCTTAGCCCACTCAACTGGAAAAAGTTAAATTGAAATTTTGCGAATCTCTACTCTACAGTTATTACTGTTAATATTATTGTTATAATTACATATATAATATTTGCTTTATTAGTACTACTATTGATTTATAGTACTATTACATTGTTAAAATAACAAGTTCCACGTGTGTAATTATTCTCTATTTATAAAAGAGGAATATTAGTTCAATGTTTTAAAGCAAGAAATACGCGATTTATGGATTTATGGAGGTTTTGTGAATAAAATTATACAAAGTTGGGAAAATTTCATTAGGAAACGCCTGCAAATATGTCGCCTTGTCACTCGTGCTACACGCAACTGTTCGCAGTTGCATACTCGTAGGGGCTATTATTAAGTTTCAAAAGAGAGAAAAGAAGAAATATTTTTGAAACACTGATTGACTGTATATACACTGAAATTTTAATTGTTTATCCGCGCGCGCGCGAATAATTCTTTAAAATAGTCAATTAAATATATTATTTAATTTTTTATTGTCATTTAATTTTTAGTGATGCATGCAGTTTTCTTAATTACATGTTTCTTAATTGAAGTTTAGGAATTGCATTGGCAAATTCTGTGAAAAGAGCGTGCAGAAAAAATATTGAGGTTTTCGCTCGAGCTCGGAAGGATTAAGAAATTTCGATATTCAGCGTGTGTCAACGTGTAAATATTTAGTGACGCGATTACTCCCAATCGTACGCCTCACGTTGAAAGCTCAGCCGATTGGCTCGGACTGCGAATTTATTATTTATATCCTCAATGACCGAAAATTTGCAACAGTTGCTGATTAATCGTCCTTCTGTCAACCCACACAGATTTTCATAAATAATTATGTCGCATGCTCTCCCATCGCATATTCATAAGACGCGTTCTCAGCAAACACCTCGGCCTCTTAGCATCCGTCGCGAAAAATCGCGAATGTGACCCGCGACACCGTGAAGTATTACGCAAATATTTGTTTTTTGGCGAGGTAATGTCCGAGCGTGAAAGCGGCGAGTGCGTAAACAAGAGCTATCGAAATTATGCCAGAGCTATTTATACCTGTCGCCCGCCTATATTTACGTGCATCGTCGAAAGCGGCGCGCGTGCGTTTAGGTCGTCTAATTAAATATTATACAATAATTTATTTTATTCCTCCTATCCGAAATGTCGTATGGCGATATTAATATCGCCAGCCTTCAAATTGCTTCGACGGCTAATTATTCATATACCGTTTGACCAAACACGTAACATAATTTATATTGCTAAATTGCCAGTGAAATTTAGCTGTACACAAATTGCGAAGTCCTATGCAGTTGCGCAATTAAAATAAATACTACACTTAGAAGTGCAGTGTTATATTATACATTGTAATTTCTCGCTCGCGTCTGTATTCATACACAGGCGCTGCAAAACTCCCAACATTTATATCTTCCGAAACATAAAACGTTTTCTCTCACTTTTGTCTAATGTTCACGCGCGCGTCTTATGGCACGCTCGTGTTGCTTCGAGTTGCTACGGAGAAGCTAAATATTGCATTACAGCAGTAAGCGTTGAAACGGCCGCAATTCTCTGAAAGCTTTCTTAAACCTTTAACGGGCAAAATTTGCTGGCTGAAAGAATCCAATTCTTAGCGTTTAACTCATTGTCAGTGCAGATAATTTGATTCCGTATCCAGTGCGGAGACAATACCTTCTTCTAGTTGTTGTGTCCGCGATATAGATATATACTGAATGAAAAGTAGAAAAATCTGACAATAGCATACCTCCACTAATTACACAGTAATTTAAACTTCTCTTGCGTGTGTTTTTGTAGTGAAGATTGAAAATGTTTCTCGTTGTTTCTTTGTTTAATTTTTTTAAATTACAACTAAAAGAAAAATTAATTTCTCTGTATTTATTAAATTTGCTTCGACAAATTATTGATTAAAAAATTTCTGTGAAGTATATTTTACCATTAAGAATTCAAATATGTGTTGTTTTGAATAAGATAAATAGATGACATAATATATTCGCTTCTAAGACGTTAATATAATTAACAAAACGTTTGTTTTTTAAATTAAAATTTTTTATTTTTTTGTATATTTGTGGTAGAGGGAATCAATTATGTTAAGAAAGAATTGAAATAAAAAACCTCTTCGACACCTGTAAATTGAGAGGCGCTGTTTGAAAGCGCGTTCGTCAGTAACGAGCAAACTCGCTAGGCCGCGTCAGTGAAATCGAATTAAAACGTCGAATGCAATTAGCGTAGGAAGAGACACAGCCTCCAGTGTACACGTGAGTGCATGCAGACGTTACTTCTCAAATTGACCGAATCGAGTTCGGCCGCTACCGCTGAAATGTGATTGCATTTTCGCGATTTACGCGCGCAGCGTAAATAGTTTGCGCTCGTCGCAGCACGAATTGCGACGCATAACAAAGCTCTGTGCATGTGCATCCAACGGAATGCTGCAATGCGTCTATCGAACGATATTTTTTTTTTTTTTCTTACGATTAATTCAATTTAGTTTTTTGAGAATTTTATTTTTAGTTGCGAGTTTTCATAGCAAATGCTTTCTATACGATTCGTGCCTTTTTTAAAAATTTAATTTGACAGTTTCTGCGTACGCTGGAAAGAGATTTCAAAATCGAAGACACATCAAAGATACGTTTTTCGAAAATAAATATTAAACAAAATTGTTATTGAATTAATACTTTTTAATTTTTTATGAATGAGAAGAAATCTCAAATTATTAAATATGTCAGTGAAAATTACAGAAATAAAAATTCACGAGCTCATATGACGTGCAGATTAAATTTATTTTGCAAAACTGTGGAAAACACGCTATGTCATTGACAAATTGCATGCTTTATATCGCAAATTAAATGTCAAGCGCGTTTACTAAATTCTACAAAAGGTTAAAATACCTTCATTATTTTAGAGCAGATTGTTTTCCAGCTAGAAATCACTTTCCAAGTACAGGCAAATTTTTCTTTTAATTTTACTACAATTTGATTTTTTTAAGCTCCTGCGCACGTAGATTGCATGTGTTCTCACCGCTCTTGTTTTGGATTGTTTGTTGCATCTCAGGTCCAGGCGAATGTCTCAGGATGTCACAACCTCGAAATCAACAGAAAATCTCTCAGCGTCGTATTACAGGTAAGTACAGCACATGCACTCACCGTCATTTCATTTATTTCTTTTTTTCGAGCTTGTACATTATGTAATCCTAGTATTATAAATAATTGTAATTCCACGTTGTCGTTGATGTTTAGATTATAACGTAGTTATAGTTCTCTCGCGTATATTTTGTGTAGAAATACACATTTGAAGTCCTATATAAATCACGCATGATAATACGAGTGGAAAAGTCTTAGCAATGTTGTTTGAGAACATATCTTTTCCGTTGATTGTAAGTTCAGCAATAAGACGAACGCAAAAGAAACGTTTATATGAAAGTGATAACACCCGTCCGATACGCACTATATCTCTCGACGCCTGTTAAAATAGACCGCGTGTTTCTGGAAAGCGCATTTGTGAAACGAATTTGTTTCCTCCATAAATATCAAAGGAGGGGACTGTCTTGAAGGAAAACATACGGCTGGAATGTTGCTCGTCGATTCGACGAATGAGTCGCTATTATCACACAACGCTGGTTCATTCACCGACTTTTTCATTCACGTTCGACTTTTTTTCACGCCCGTGTGTCGCGTTGTTCGCAGAGATTTTACCGGGCTTTATCTTCATTGGCCACGCGTCCATAGAGACCGCTCGACTTATGGAGGTAACCCGCACGTTGCATGGTTCGTTGCATCGTGAAATTACGTTTTGTTATGGCTCGGTGAAATTGTCTCTAGCACCTGAACGTTCATACAAATAGTGAGCGTCAAACTATTAGCGTCTACCCGCGTACGCCCCACAATACATTCTGCAAGAATAAGTCGACGAGTGAGCACTCAATTTTATTTCTGAATGAGCTTAGCGGCTTGATTTTATTTTAACGATGTAAACTGCAAATAGAGATATCTTTTCACCACACTAATTTCTTGCGCATTTGTCCCTCTATTAAATTCGTTTAAAACGCTTTAGATTATTTCAATTGTTGTGTGTAGATAATTTTAATTGTTCCTGAAGAATTAAGGCAAATTTTATAAGTCAATTCTTATCGTTTTGCGGAAATTAAAATTTATGGAAATTTAAAATTAATTTTGAAAAAATGACATAGAGTGCCTACATCTCCGTAAAGTCATTCTCGTTTTATTCTATCTCTTCCGACCTATTTCTGCAGATTTCGCTCTGCTTAATCAAATTTGTTACGCAACGAGCTCGGGATATTAACGAGAGCGAAGTTAATTAACGATCACGTTTATTCTATTACAGGAGCAAGAGCCGTAGCGTGGATCATGGATTCACGGCACCCTTCGATTTGGATGCTCTGCGGAATAAAGTTGAAGGACGCTTCGAATCTGTGGATAAGCTCTCAAAAGGTGAGAATATATTATCATTTATTTATTTATAATTGAATTATTGATTATTTTAAAAATTATCAAGCTATGGCTTCCGTGTAGTATTACTGTAACGACGGGAACCAATAACTTCAGAAAAGATACAAATTACTCTTTCTCGATCATGAAAAAATCAATTACAATTCATCTGGAAAAATACTGTGTATCGAATTTGAGAGTTGTGGCATAAATATCCAAATTTTATCTGTCATTACTGCACGATAGATTTAATATTGAAGAACTGCGACAGCTTTTTTCCGCCCTTGAAAGATATGTCATTTTATGACACGTGTCCTTTTCGCATTTCGGCGCAGTGGACTGTGCTATCGAAAATCGTTTAAAACCCGATATTCGTATTCAATGTCGCGTGTAGATCCGCGATATATCCGACGCGGAAATTCCGGACGGCGTCTCTGACTCTGTGCACTGGCGAATTGGAGTGGTTGACCGTGACGACGACGCGATGTAGACCAGACGAAGGTCTCGGGCTGTTCCCGTGCTGTTTCGACGAGTCAGCCGCGCGCAACCTTACTCGAGCGAGTTACATTGACTTACTTTCCCAAAGTGGCACAAGTGCCACGTGTGATCGATCGCCCTATCTCGCGCATACCTCGAATCGACGCGCGTTACCAATACCAACGCGGCGTGGAGCTTAATGAAGACTAATTGACGCGCAAGATTAAGGATAAAGTGGTGTAGTAATTAATGAAGCAGCGTTTCGACGAACAGAACGCAGATCTGGTCGCGAGAGATCAACGGGATTACGGGCAAGTGGCGAAACAATCGCGTATGTCATCATCCGCGGACAATTTTTTCACCGGCGTGAATAATTCAAGAACAATGCATAATTTATAGGCTTGCTTTATGTCAGACGGGTCGTTAGATTAATTTTTGAACGAGTGTCATAATCATTATAGAAATTTCTTATCGTATTCGCTAGCTAATTTCAAAGTAATTACCAGCGTAATAGATATCTAATGTATTTTTATTTTCGTAATAAATGCTGCGTAAAAAAGCATCATAAGAGAAAATGTGATTTTGTAGTATAGAGAACTAAATTAGGGCTTAATTATTATTATCGGATTGTTATCGTTTATTCCAATATGAGGATGGTATCATTTTCATAATTTTTGCATTTATTCAATAGCAATGGACTTGAGAGCAGCGCCTCACGTCGCCATTAGCGTCATCGTATTGCGCTTAATATTTCATGTATACGGAAATTGCCACGAAAATTTAGATTCTGTCTCGATAGCCCCACAAGCAGTTTATTAAATCCGCTTCAAACACGTGAATAACCCAGATACCAGCGCGAACATTTAAATCATTCGCCGTGCATATGCTCGTGCGCGCGCGCGCTCGCGGGTGAAGCTTTAATGGGAGCCGAGGGTTCGCCAAGGGACAATTGTTTCCAACTATCGCTCGAGATTTATCTCATTACCTGCGCCAGCCGTTTGCAGAATTACACGTCTGAGAAATAATCCGGTCGCCAATCTAGCTTCGCACGCTTGAAGTTACAGCGCTCGCAATATATTATTAATTAAATGAATCTCGGAGTATAATTTTTACCATGAACTTTCTTGTTATTATTATCGATAAACATAATTTACTCATTGTTATAATTTATTTGTTATTAATTAAATCACACAGCACGATTATAGCAATATTTGAGGTAAACACATTTATCATTAAATTATATTTACGTGATCATTTAATTTAATCACTTAATTTCGTTAATGGTTTAATATTATTATCGACTACACGTAGTTGCCTATATGTTCTTTATTCCCCTCGTCTCTTTGAAACGATTATTCCAGCAAAAATCGTTGAAAAAAAAGGGAGAAAAAAATTGAGAGCGATATGAGCGATATCCCGAACGCGATGCAAACTGTCGATTACATTGACGTTTTTATTGGGATTCTCACGTATATGTGCACATGTGCGACTGTTTACATTGCAGCAACACTGGTTGCGCATAGGCTGTGCAAACGTTTATTTCTGATTATACCGTGCATGGATATCAATCGCGCGAACAAGCGAAGCTATGAAAGTTTCTCGGAAGTGGCAAAACCGGAAAGCGTGACAAGGAAGAAATAAACTAGCGGAAACTTATTCGCATTAACAAACATCTGTCGTGATTTATAAACCTCGAATATATGACCGTAGCCTTAACCTCGGCGTATTTAAATTCTGCCTTGTGTCTTCCTCTCTGTCGTTAAATTCCTGAAGAACCTGTTTTCTGTGACTGAGCAAAATAAATATCTACGTGTTAGTAGTTTTAAACGTAAATGACATTGTACAGCTGGAAATAATCAATTGACGAATAAATCTAGCGGTGTGTTCCTATTTTTATAGTCTAATATTCGTTTTGTATTAGAGGAAAAAAAAAGGAAGAAGGCCTAGAAGCTTACATGTAATAAAAAATATTAATAATAATTATGTCAGTGATTAAAAATAACAATGTTTATTATTGAAAAAAAATTTGTTGTCTATAGCAATTTATTTCGTAAAATAATTATTAATATATTATAAATTATTCAATATTTATGTTTACTTTTAAAATTAACGTAAAGTTATGTTTCTTTTTATTCATACATTTGTCACAGCTCAATAGTTTATTCATTATATGCAGCAACTAACATATATATATATACTGAATATTTTTATCACATGAAAATAATTATTTAAATAATTCTTTAAAACATTAAAATTTATATTTGTTACGTAATAAGAAGTATAGATATATATTGCGACAACTCGATTGATTGACAAAAATAGGATTATTAGTCACAACTACTTTATCGTAATCTAGTCTGGTTATTAATAAACTCTTTTTATATAATTTATTGCGATAATACCATCAATTATGATAACGTTTCTTATATACAAATGTTTATCATAAATATTGATTTGCGGGAATTTCGCAAAGTGGTTTGACCATTCGCGATATCATTGATCGGATCGGCGTCGGTCTCTCATTCCAGGAATATCCAGGGTTTAATCTCGTAATTAATTGCCGCGCCATTTATCGTGGCATCGATAAGGAGTGCGATCGAATAGTCCCGCCAAGAGTGACGTCAGTCTGATTCATCATGGCTGATGGCGATTAGTTACGCGGGCAGTCGGAGTGGTCGGAGTCGTCGTAGCCACAATCCGTCGTAGCATTCGTAAATCGCAACGTGTCTGTGTCGTGTATCCGTCAATGTCGGTATCACTCCGGACGCGGTTTGTCGCAATCGTTGGTACAGGCAGCCAATCGCCGACATTCGGCGGCTTACAAATACGCGCGCGTTAATTATTCACGTGATCGTGACACCTTTCGCGCAGTTTCTGTCGCGGACGTTTCTCGCCGACGTCTGTTTCTCGCTCCGAAGATCGTGGGATCATAAAACGCTAATACAGAATTCTTACTTCGCCTGTATTACGCGATAAGTGTTACCGTTTGTGCCGAACAGTATGCTCAGTACGTTTTTATCATCGGACGCCGTCGGTTCACTCTATACTTACTCTATGCTTGCTTATTTCGCGAGTGTGTTTTTCGAAACGACCGTGATAACGATTCGAACATGCAACGACGATCTCGGCCTTAGGTGATTTTTGAAACAAGTTTCGAATAAGTTCTTGTGAATCCATTGATTAATTAAAACTTTAAATTAAGGTTTATTATTCAAACTGTTAAATTAAAAATTTTTAATTTTTTATATTTTAAATTATGTAAATTATATGATGAGAAAAATGAGCTAATAATTTTTTAGCTGCATTATAAAATATATTTTACAATTTTATATTTAAAATACAAAGCACGGAATTGTTTTTAATTGAACTCTTTCATTATAAAGTATATGAAAATATTAATTAGAAGGCAAATAATTTATCTACAATCAAGATATTTAAAAAATTAAAATTTATTATTATGTAACTCTCAATGGGTTAATTTAATATTTAATAAAATTTTGTTTACAATTTTAAGTCTACCAATTTTTTGCCAATTATTGTGCGCATTTGGTCTATTACGTAAATAAGTTTTAGCAAAGCCGGTTTTGCACAATAAAACGTGAGTTTTTTGCATCTCGTCAGTGACAAGGTCGGCCGTGTCAGCGAGAGAAAGTGTTCCGCGTCTGAAACTTTGAATGTCGAAAGATTTGAGACGTTCAATAATAGTTTAATCTTATAAAAACTTTTTTTTTAATAGACTAAGATGATTAACTTTTAGTAATTTTTTTATATGTTAACTGATAAAGTGTTTAGCCTTTAAATAATATAGTATTAACAATTTCCATTTTTAGAAAATAAAAATATATTTGCTTCATGCATTTATTAACAAAGATAACAAAGCTCTTTATGAATTACCGTTTTATTCTTATGTATATTTTAATTCTTCTAAAGATGTTTTTATGAAATTAGTATATATCTTTATATTTTGTAGTTAGAGTGCTGTGACTACTGAGTATTTTCTTGATTGTAGATAAAACTCACGAGAAATTGAATAAATCGTTAAATATTGAATAGCTTTTTATTTATTAAGATTTATTTTATTATTGAAAATAATTGCTATATTTTTTATATAATTTCCTACAATTAATCATAAAGATCAAATTTATATTTCCTTTGCTGGTAACATAAGTTATGCAAAATTTGTTGATAATAGGAATAATGTATTTCTAACATAATAATGTTATCAGGTATTATCTAATTGGTAGATCTCTACATGTGTAAACATCGGCTTACTCGAGAAGTAGCGAAGTCCTGTACACATTACATTCCTTTTACACATCTGTAATTTAAACTCTGCTTTGGTTCCTACTGTTGCTTTATAATTACGGAAACAGTGCAATAATTTACAGTATATAATTTTACTGGCATTGATTAGTCGATGTGTGCGAAATATTAAACGCGTTCAGGCGAACAAATTAAGTGACAAACAGTGTCGAGCTTTTTCCCGCGATTCTAAAAGAGGCGAGAAATGCGACGATGTTTTGACTCGAGCATGTCGACAATGGAATTTGACGTTCCGATGAGCTCGCAGTGGGACTACGAGCCAAACAACATTCATATTTACGAGAAGGAGTTCCACGACTACGTCGTGTATTATGTGGCGCAAGGAGATTCGCAGCTCTTCTTGAGCAACTTGGAGTACACCTCAGGTACAAGTACAGAGAATGTGGGAAAAGTGTAGCGGAAAATGTTTTTAAATGAATATGTGCACGAGATATTCAAGATATTCCATGCGTTTCTCGTGCTTTTTCGCGCAGCAAATTTCATTAGCTTTAATTTTCTGTAGCACATCCTCGCATTTTACAGTTTTGAAGGTAATCTTTTTCAACCTTTACTTTTTCGTCGTTTAAAATGTAAATTAATTAATTTTCTCAGTTGATTAGCATTTTTATCAGAAAAATTAATTATTTATTGACCTCTGTTATTTTAAGTGATAATATTTAATGACTTGTTTTTTATTTCGCTTGATATTTTTACTGCTAGCTGATTCGAATAGAGAAAGATTTTATTTCGAAGAAAAGTAAAATTTTATTTCGAAGAAAATTAAAATTTTATTTCTAAAATTAACATTTTATTTCCCTTTATATTTCGGAAGCCCTATGTTCCGGCTTATGTTTCCAACCACGATTTCGATCAATATTAATTAGTTTCGCACGTGTGAATTGAAATTACATTTGCGCCGCCTGCGACACGCTAGATACGATGAAATATGCAAATCTATAAAAGTGTCAAGTCCACGCGTCGCGTCGTCGTGTCGGAAGATAAAATGACGTTCCTCTGTAATCATCTCCGAGATTATTGTGCAACGGCATGAATTGAATGTCTGCTGAAATTGAACAAAGTGTCTGAATCATTTATCGAAGGCCACGGAGAAAAACAAACCTTTCAGATTGCCCATCGCGAGACTCTACGTTACTCTTGTCACGCTCACTCGTGGAATACAATAGAGAAAATCTATTATCCCCTCGACGGGACGAATCCGTCGGGACGGCGTAGTCATTCAATTACAATGTATGAGTAACTTGACATTGGCACTTTTAATAACTCTTGTAATTGTACTGATTACACGTTTGCGAAGTATGTAATTATTTAGACTTATTTTTCAAAATAAGAGAGAAATAATATTATTCGATGAAACGCTGTATTCCAGACTCCACGTTTTGCTTTAAAATAATTAATGCTATAATGTATAGTTAAAATAAGGAAGTGTTGTTGGATTTATTGCTAGCAATATTGAGTTTTTTTAATCAACATTGTTAGCATTGCATTTTTCAGAATAATGGCCGCTGGTAATTAAATTTGGAATCACAATGCAAAATTATATAATAAACGAATACCATGCGAAAATTCTGAAAATACGTTTTTGAAAAGTCGATATTAAAAAACATGTGTTATAAAAATTGGAATAATTTATATTTCTACATAACCACCATGCTTTTCAACACATTTCTTTCAGCAAGATTCAGTAGTTTTTCGATGTCTCAAGAAAAAATTTTTTTAGTTGGAAAATTACTCAGTTTATGTATCGCAGCTGACATCATTAGTAAAAGCATCTTGCCATATCTCCTTCGCAGACCTTGTGCCATGAGATTACCATGCATTTGGACCATTAAAAGAAGATTTGAGAAGATCTGGATTGTATAGAGGATGTAATAAGGCGCTTTTCTAATGACGACAAACTTACCGCTACTGCATAACTGCATAATTTCACAACTGAAAAATGTTTTTTCGAGAAACCGAAAAGTAGCTTGATTGTTGGGAGAAATATGATAACAATATAGAAAAATAAATTATTTCTTGAATTTTTTTTAATAAATACATATTTTTGAATAACGACTTTCCAGAAATTTTTCGCGTTGCCTTCGTGCTTTTAATCGAGAGAATATTGATTCGCTTATCTTCATGAAACGATAAGATACATTACATTACATCACAATGCATTTCAAAGGCAACGTGTTATTATATTTTTCGCCTTTTTATCGTCCACATTTTGAAATAAGATCTTCCTGATGTCCGACGATACCGAGCGAATGTTTAAATTGACAATGATTAACCGCGTTAATTTAGCGCGCATCAAGTTCAACTCTCGGAATAGCTTTTGTGTAAGTCGTCACGTGCTTACTAAATACTTCGTTTATCATTTATCGCCTATGCAGTCGCTGTGTTGATCGCTCATACTAACGATGAGTGAGACAATCAGACAGGCGGGGCGTAAAAATGAAATTTTACCGTTACTTATTTTTACGAGGATACAATTCGTATCATGATTATTTTTCTCTTTCCTCATAAATGAGCGTCGATATCGATTATTGATTTTCATATACAAAGATCTGATAAAGATCACTTTAGATAATCTATAATTCGACATTTGGAAGTAGAAATTTATGATTTTATCTGGTAATATAAAAAATATTTACAGAATTCAAATATTCATATTATTAGTGAAATCAAAAATATCCTGTATATGTGTGTATTTTTACTTTTAAATGATTTTTTATATTACATTGCGTATAAAATTATAAATAGATTTGTATCTCGAATTCTGTTACGAATTCTAGGTCATATAAAGCGGATTTAAAATAATAGCGTATATTATTTTTGTGTTATTTGTATGCATTTCAGCAAAGTAATTTTTTATTTTTATTACGTTATGCGATTCAATTGTTAATAGATGTTATATATCATATAACAATATATAACACATTATTTCTATCATTAATTGTTTAAAAATTATTTGAATTAAAAAGTACGACATATACTAGGAAAAAAAGTTTAGTGTTTTTAATAAAATTTTGTAGTTGAAGGCTTTTAGCAACCAAATATTTTATTTTATGTTATAAAAGATTTAGTTATTTTTGCTAAAATAATTTTTACATTTTGTTATTTTGACTAAATAATTTAGTTAGAAAATTTTCAGTAAAATTTTCAGTAAAAGATTTTAAAATTAATAAAGGAAAATTAATACGACAGAACATTTTTGTTTAAATTAATAAAACTTGTTTTTTGTTAATATTTTCTGTCGTTATATCAAGAAAAGGAATTGTAGGAAAAAAATGCTGCTGACAAAGATATTTGTTTAGAATAAATAGATTTGGTTAAGCATATTTCAACCAAATATTTTTATCACTATATATATTTCTTTTAATCTCTTCCTCTCTACTTATTAAATTAAAGTGACTTGAATTCCGACTGTCGTACAAGACTATTAAGTAATTTTTATAAGCAAAACCATTTATTAGTCATGCATAATACATTTATGCGACAGAGATATCTATACGCAGTGATGTTATTTAAGATATATACTTGCGCATATTATATCAGAGTCACTTTGTTTATCAACATGTAAGAGCGTAACGTAACAAAATCTGCTTTTTCTGCACAGATTCCGATAACGAGAGCAAAGATGGCTCCACGACACAGGAGAAGAAGCATGGTCGCGTCTCACAGCCCATCAACACTATTGCCTACGCGGTAAGTGTCTATATCTATATGCATGATAAGCGCCATAATTGAGCGCATATTAAGCTCTGATATGCGGTGATGCATTTGCATCATTTCTACGAGCAATCGAGTGTCGAGACAAGACGATTAGTTGCCAAGGAGAACGAATGTAACCTTTGCTCGGATGCATAAATATCCGTTATCCTTCCAGTTCAAACACATGTAACGTATCTAACTGTTACGTTGTCGTTTTAAAGAGAAAGATACTTGAGGATTCCGAATGGGATTTTGAAATTTTATTTGTAGGTATTTATTAAAGGTCTATAAAAAAAGCAATCTATCGAATCTACGATGAGTCGGGTCGATGAACCAATGAATAAATTAATGAGAGATTGTAGTGGAGTGGCAAGTGTTGCGCAATATGAATTTTTCGAAGGACACAATTTCCAGTACGTGAGCTGAAATTCTCTGACGCAGCACGTTCTTGAACTATTATGCGACCATGAATATAATCGTATAATCGTCCGTTTTTTTATATTTTTGACAAAAATATTTACGATAAAAAATACTGCTCTGTTATATTTTTTAACGTTAAACGTATAAAATTGATGCAGCGGAACTTGGGCATAATTTTGCATTGATTGAAAACATTTTGAAAAAATTCGGAGAACCTTAACGATAGCATTCATATTTTTTTTATTCTTTTTTTTTGTTAGTGGTGATTGCTATACTTTGATTGTTATTCATTGTGTAATTATTAAATCGCTCTCGCGAACGCCGAATTTGCGATGTACAAACCTCGAGGCAACGCGAGTAAAGTTATTGAAAACGTTCTAAAGAAATATTAAAGAACGAAATCTTACCCATGTAAAAAGAGCTTGACCGCAGTATTATCAATAGTTATCAGTAGTTTGACCGCATATATTATCAGTTTATCGTTTAAGTATACATACTGTAGTTCACTCGTGCTCGTTTCTTCACGCGAAACACTTTGCTATGAATTCCAATTACTTTACCGCGCGCTCAGAACCGGCGTTTGCAGATCCTCGTTAACGAAATAGTTTCTGCCCCGACAGGTCGCATTCGTGGCGAAAGAGCGCCGCGAGTTCGCGAAGACCGCTCGCTATCCGCTCTTCGGAACTTTGAAAGCACGAGGTGACACGGGGCGGCACCCGTGAATTCTAGAGCGGCGAAGATTCGCGCACAGTTCGGAATACTTTGTATCGAATGACTTGAATTTCGATCTTTTGAAACCTTTTAGTAATGCATTCAGGGCTTCAGCTTTTTTCGCTCAAAGAAATTGTATTTTTTTTTTTTTAAACGATGTGGATCTCTCGAATCTCTTTTTATGTTCTTCATACAAACAATTATAGATAACAAATTTGATATAATTTTTTTATCTTCATATTTTTCTCATTCTTTTTTTTTGTTAGTGGTGATTGCTATACTTTGATTGTTATTCATTGTGTAATTATTAAATCGCGCTCGCGAACGCCGATTTTGCGATGTATAAACCTCGAGGGAAATTTCTCGTCTGAATTGCACTCCAGGAAGAAAGCATTCTTCCATCTCGCTTTAACCCAAGTCTCCCTAATGCGAC